GCTCTCTCTCCCTTCCCTTTCCACATTAGCATATCACAACCATCTCGGCGGCGAAAAACCTCAATTTGGTAGACGGATGAAAGCGCAGGCTGAGTGCAGACGTCTGCTACATCTCTGGCTTGGAGGACGTCTGCAAGCAGGCTACTGAAAGAGTGCACATGCAACTATGCTGATAACGTCAAGCTCGAACAACCCAACATGCGTCGAAGATACAATCAATTCCAGAATGGTTATGACACTTTTGCCTAGAGAGCACTTTTTTACTTTCAAGCGCCTCAAAAAAAAATAATAATAAAGAAAGAAAAAAGAGAAGTATTCGAATACAAGGGATTCTTCCCCACTCCCCGATACCAAGTTGTTATTTAGCATAGCCCGGAACGTATTTGCGCTTCTTTGTAGTCGTCCATGTTCTGCGATCGTATCTCAAGCCAGCTTAGGATGAGGAAACAAAAGTTCACCTGAAAATGGTCTGGTATAGGATTACAGTGAGTGACAAGCAGCAAAAAACACCGTCAAATTGTAAAGAGAACTCTTCCAGATACTGCCCCTCGTAAAAGCTAATCAAAATAAATTATTGATACCTCACAGAAGCTCTGATCTGTCCTTGAGGGCAGCCAGTGTTATTGTCTAATCTGTTCAAAAAGCGGTGTGCAGCAATGACAATATCACTGCTGTTTTCCCTGAATAGAAAACTGTTGGGGTTACAGTACGTCTTTGGACTCAGCATCACCGTGGAAGCTTCATAAGTCACGTAAATATCAGGGAACATTGGCAGGTTGTACTGTACATGAAGGCCCGTGAACAGGTCACCAAGCACCTGCAATAAAGAACGGGAAACAACTCGTCACAAAAATTTCAACCCAAAAGTATTTCTCTCAGAGGACGACTTTTTCATTATCAAGACTCCTTCAAGCAGTTGACGGTCACGAAACGCAGGAATTCAATTCGAAGTTTCAAGGTCGAGACTGCCTCCGTATTTTAAAGGCAGCATCAACTGCTCGAACTAACTGATGTGAAATTGCCAGAAATATCAAATTTTCGGCAGTTTTTTATTTGCTACAAATTTCCTGAGTGCTTCGGGCGATTTTTGTTGTAACAGTGTTCTTTTCACCAAGATCTTCTTTTTCTTGCTTGACAGGTTCCCCGTAAACAATTTTTGAGTCAACTCTGAGAATTTCCCCCAATTGCATAAACTTAAGTGTAGTACGAAGGTAAAACTGTTTTTTTGGGGCTTTTTCAACAGAACTGGTCTTTGTTATGAATAGACGTACACTAGATGGTCAGTGTCACTATGAAAAGTTGGCAATTGTTCAAAAGTCGGGCAACTTCAAAGTCAGCAAACGATGTGGTCTACTGCTTTTTGGCTGGTTAGCACTTAAACGGTATTTTAAATATGGCTCCATAAAAGGTTGTCGCTCAATAAAGGGGGGGGGGGGGGGGTCCTCCAATAAAAGGGGGGGCCGGTCCCCCAAAAATTTTTTTTTGCCCCTTTGGGGCCCCCTTTTGGTGAAAACATTGGGGGGGGTGGGGGGCCCCCCCCGGCCCCCCCCCTCGCGCCCCCACCTGGTATCCCTTTTCATACTCCCCCAAACACCACTCTTATTTTTTTTTCCCCCCCCTTGCCCC